AGGGAGGCGGGGACGAGATGGGCTGGTTTTGGGATGCGGTAGGGGGAGGGGAGATTTTGAAGCTTGTGAAGTCCACATTGATACCATTGGCTGCAGGGTTCCCAAGCGGAATATGAGTTGCTGTTCCTGCAACCTTTGGGTAGCATCGTTGTGGCACTGCAGGAGGACCAGGATGGACATGTAGTCTGAGGAGTGGGAGGGGGAGTTGAAATGGTTTGCGACTGGGAGGTGCAGTTGTTTAGTGTGAACTGAGCGTAGGTGTTCTACAAAGCGGTCCTCAAGCCTCCGCTTGGTTTCCCCGATGTAGTGGAGGCCACAATGGGAACAGCGGATGCAATATACCACATTAGCAGATATGCAGGTGAACATCTGCTTGATGTGGAAAATCTTCTTGGGGCCTGGGATGAGGGTGAGGGGGGAGGTGTAGGGGCAGGTAAAGCACTTCCTGCGGTTGCAGGGAAATGTGCCAGGAGTGGTGGGGCTGGAGGGGAGTGTGGAGCGGACAAGGGAGTCACAGAGAGAGTGGTCCCTCCGGAAAGCAGATAAGGGTGGGGAGGTAAAATGTCTTTGGTGATGGGGTCGGATTGCAGATGGCGGAAGTGTCGGAGGATGTGCGTTGGATCCGGAGGTTGGTGGGGTGGTACGTGAGGACGAGGGGGATTCTGTTTTGGTTGTTATTGCGGGGATTTCCTTAGATGGATTTTTGATCCACGAGGAAGTCAAGGGTTTTGGTGTCCAGCCCAAAAATTGGAGTGCAGAGCATTACCACATTAGCCATGGTCTTATTGAATGGCAGAGCGGGCTGGAATGGTCTACTCCTGCTCTTCAGTCCAATGTTCCTATGAAATACTCCTAATGTGATGCCTATCGGGTTCAGCAGTTTATCGTTGTGGACAATGAACATATATGCCACATCTCTCCAGCTGGACTTCCTCCCTACTTGGTCTTTGTTCTTGGCGTTGTGGCATTTAAACACTGCCCTGTTATAACTCATAATGACCCGAGTCCCATGACCAACAGCGAATCAATACTGTCGATAGCACCGAGTCCTGAGCGCCACTTCCCGGCCAGTACAACATTGGGAACACCGGTGTTACCCTTTCCACTGAGGGAGAGGGTCTGCGCTTCCCACAATGTTAGTGTGGTTACCAGGAAGCCGGAATAAAATAGCTTGTCGAGTGAAATGTCTGTACTTAGCGCCGAAAAGGAGATACCAGTGCTTACTGAATGACACAGGTACAAGATTGAAATGACTCGTGCCCTGTTTAATCTCACTCACTTATCGACCGGAGTGAGCTGGGGGGCGCTGGACAAGAGAGAACTCGGGGCTGCAATGCAACAAGGGAATTCTTATAAACCCCCCCTCACCCCTCCCCTGCTTCAGATTGACCTGAAGAGGACAATTTCGAGCCGCGCTCTTTGTGTTTATACGGGTCAAGCCCCAGGTGATATGAACGATGAACCGATCAGCCACTGCAATACGGGGAGAACCGCGACGCACACACAATACTGAAGTCTTCATTCGATCATCAAGACGATCAGATTGTTAGAGAGTATGGGCAGGGTTCTCTGTTGCGTAAAACGAAAGCTGTTTAAAGGGCCATTCACAAGTTAATATGTACTTCTGTTTTCCGATCTTGAAAATGTTGAGATCTACACAAACCAAACTCTCAGTGTAGCACCTTTCTCCTTCTTTGCCCCACTCCCCGGGCAATGTCTCCGACCCCTGGTTGTACATCTCTCTCCTTATCCTGACCCCATACTTCATCCTAAGTGATCCCCGGGGGTCTTGACCCGCAACACAGCGACTGACAACACTCCAGTTTATATTCAAACATCCCTTTTCCCTTTGCGTCCAGCCCTCCCTCCCTTTTCACAATCTCTCAACCCCTCCTCCACTATCTTTATGCCAATCTGAGAGAGCAGACGAGATCCCAGGTTAACACTTTACCGAGAGATGTATGGGTTGTGTACTCAGTGGAATCAACCCCATGCAGCAGCGATAATTCCACAATAGAGTGGCCCCAGTGGAGGTCAGTTGTACCGGTCTAACGGACGGAGTGATCCGCTTCCACTCAGACCCTGCTCTCATCCAATGAGTTATGAATTAGTTGCTTCGATTAACATATTTGTTAACAGTTGTATGAACGGCAATATATTCTTAACCCTTCTGTGAACATGGGGAAAATTCATCATTCTTACAGAGCAGAAAGCCATTATTTAAAGTAGCAACTCCTGAACAAGAGTCACTGGACCCCGCTTTCTCTGCACAGACCTGCTGACTTTCTGTTTTTGTTTTTGACCTTCAGCATCCACAGTTTTTTTTTCCTTTTCCCTCCCTTCGAAATTAGCATTGTATTTAATACCATTCTCCTCTAGCTGTTTTCCTGTGGGTAAATTTTACACACGTTCTGGAGCAGGTGGGACTTGAAGCTGGGCCTTCGGACCCAGATGTGAAGGTGCCGGTGTCGGACTGGGGTGGACAAATTCAGAAGTCCAAAAGCCAATAGTTCTGAGGAAGGGTCACCGGACCCGAAACGTTAACTCTGTTTTCTCCTGCACAGATGCTGCCAGACCTGCTGAGCTTTTCCAGCAACTTTGTTTTTGTTCCTGATTTACAGCATCCGCAGTTCTTTTGGTTTTTGTTATAGTATTATTTGAAATCACAAGTTTTCGGAGCAGTGTCCAGAAAGCTTGTGATTTCAAGTAAACCCTGTCGGGCTATAACTTGGTGTCGTGCGACTTCTGATTCTGATCCAGAGGTGGGGACACTACCACAGCACCACAAGACCCTTTACCTTTCTCCCTGTGACGCTGTTAGCCGATTAGTCTAATCCCCTCTTGATGCATTGATTGAGTCTGCCTCCCGCACACTCTCAGGCAGTGCATCTCTGACATTAATCATTGCCTGGGATCATTTTCTGTCGTTTTACTTATATCGCCAAATTATTTGAAATCTGTGCCCTCTGATCCCCTCAGGAGCTCTGACCCTCTCTTTACTCCGTGTAGAGCCTCGGATGATACTGAACACTTCGATCAGATTAACCATTACCCCGAGGTAGCATGGACAACCGAAAGATGCCCAATCTCAATGTGGGATGTTCTGCAGAGAGAAAGCTTCGGTCAAAAAACTGACACCCCCATCTCAGCATTGCTTCATTTTTAAAAAATGTAAATAAAATAAATAATGTTTTTCTCTACAGAACACACACATCTGTCCATTTGCAGACTGCTGGTGCTCGAGTAACCTTTATTTATCAAAGCCTTTCATTCCGGAGGTAGTTGCTGACAATCTAGTTTCCAATCTGCCAGCTCGCTGTGGGCGGGGTGGAGGGAGGGGGGTTGGGTGTTGGGGATGGATGAGGTTTCTAGGCAGCCAACCAGGGACAAGCTGCAAGAGATGATTTCAATGTAAAAGCGGCGAGTCCCAACCCAGAGGCGCAGCCTTGGGACCTGAAGTCAGTTACTGTTTATCCTCTCACAACCCCCCTACCCTTAAACCTACCTAACCTACTGACCGAGCTCTCAGCAATGGGACTGTCATAACCGGATCACCAGCGACACTCAGACCTTGAGCTGTTCGGCAGCAGGAACCGGTCAATGAGAAAATAGCGAGACCAGCTTGGAATTTAGCAAAGATGGGAACTGCACGACTCCTTCTGCTTTTAGCGGCGGTAAGTGAGATTTCTTTGAGATTTTTCAGGGCTTATCCTGACTGTGTTGTAGGTGCTGTCCCTCCCCAGAGCAGCTGAAGGTAAAATCACATAAAAGGCAGGCAGTCTGGGTGTTGCTGACTGCACTAGAGCGTAAGTGTTGGAAGCTGGCATTATATGGAGAGTGTGTGTTTCTCCTACCTGTGAATACAGCCTGCGGAAACTGCTCGGAGACAGCGGAGTTTTCACATCGTTCTCAATTCCCTGGTTATTACATTTTCAGGGAGACATGTGAAAATGGACCAGTTAACTGGGGACAGCCGAGTCCTTTTGAACCTCACTCCCACCCCCAAGGGTCGGCGCAGGCTGGCGCAGTTTATGGGAGAGACTCGCTCGCTCATTCTCTTGAATAAAGACAAAACCCAGAGCGATTCCAGCAGCCGGAGATCTGACAGTGAAATCCAGCCGCTCTCTGAAGATGAGAAAGCAAATCCCCGCCTCGCTCTTAAATAGTGCAGCCCACCCTCAGCTTCCTACTTCAGACTGAACCGAGAGATCTGAATAATCCCAACTCCCGCTGTTGTCGGCTTGCTTTTTTTTTGTTTGGAGGGGTGTGTGAATTTAAAATGTGGGCTCAAATTGAAAAATAAAAAGGACCAGCTCTCGTCCTATACCCAATATCAACAGACAGTAAGAATCGTCTCTCTCCCCAGATCCTGAAATCCCTGTGTCGGAAATATTTGGAAAAGTTTAAGGAAGTTATCAGCTGTCCTTTCGAACCTCCAATTCAGCTCAGTGCTCCATTTGGGGAAAAGGGGCATTTACAAACAGCAATTCCTGCTGAAATTGCCCCTCTGTTGCCCTGTCCCAGCACCCGCGGGCTGATTCATACCGGTCAGAGGATATGTTTATATTTGTGTAAAGAGACAGCAGGAGATGCTGGAAATCTGAAACTAAAACAGAAAATGCTGGAGAAATTTAGCAGGTCTGGTAGCAGTGGAGTGTGGGGCGGAGGCGGTGTTGGGGGAGGAAGAGAGAGAAACGGAGTCCAGTGAACCCCAAACGTTAACTGTACGTTTATACCCAACCATACTGCTGACTTTCATCAGTGACAGACTCCCTCAGGAACTGGGATTCTGCTATCCACATTATCCAGCTGAATTTCCAAGACGATTTATTACCAAAAGCACTGGCTCATCGTTGTGACCACGCTGCTCCATGTAGTTGTATTGCATTGGCCTGAGTAAAAATGCATTCAACTGGCGCAGGGAAAGAGTGCAGTGGGAGCCCTGGGAAAGCAGGTTTGATCTCAAGCTCTTGTTGGAAGCAGCATCTGAATTGTGGTCGCGCCTCGGCTGACTGTTCAGTTCGAAAAGCAAGGCAGGATTGGTCACAGGGACTCTCACACTAGCTAGGAGTCGGAAAGTGAGTCGGTGCGCTGTCTTTTCTGAAGTACAAAATAAAACAGGCGTGTTAAAACACAGCTACCCGGCGCATCCTTTAATATTCCAGTCCCGTGGCTTATTTCACAGTCCGGAAGAAATGTGATATCTTCGGACGAAGGGAAGTGCAGCTGACTGGTTAATTCAACTCTCAGCGACACCGAGAGATCGAAAATAAACGAAGGGGAAAGAGCTGAGACCAAATGGTAAAACCTGATGCCAGCCGAAACCTGGAGTCACAATGAATAGAGAGATGCAGGATAGAAAGAACGCAGGGTTTGCTTCGAGATTTCTCTTTACAGTAGTAAGATCTATCTAGTTTGTCATGTTTCAGTTTCTTTGACCTCATAACCAGGATTCGGAATCAGGTCCCGATATTTCCCGGAGGGGTCAACTGCGTTTGTCTGTTCTTCCAAGTCGTGCACACTCCGATCCCCACGATTACTGATCTGACCGGCAAGGGGCGCAATTTCAAATGACCTCGTTTCAAGATTCTCTTGCGAGTTGGATAGGAATCACTGGAAACATTGAAATAAAACGGTTCCTGAAACAACACATTCCTTGCCCTTTTGAAGAACATCTCTGAAAAATGACATATCATAAACAGTAGTCATACGCTGCATCTACATTAGTTTTATAAGCTTAACTGAAACTAAAACAGAAATTGCTGGAAAAGCTCAGCATCTGTGGAGAGAAATCAGAATTAACTTTTCGGTCCCTTCTTCAGAACTGGTCTTAACTGCCTGGTCATTGTTATAGTAGGGTCTTGATTGAGTTAATATTGAGGAGTGTCATAAACACCACCCACTATGGCGATGTCATTTGGACTTGTAGGTAGAACAGGTTGGATGGGGAAAGGTTTAAGAAATCTGAAGCACAAAGGGACTTTGGAGTCCTAGTTCAGAATCCTCTTAAGGTTAACATACAGTTCAGTTGTCAGTTAGAAAGGCAAGTGCAATGTTAACATTCATTTCAAGAGGGCCGGAATACAAGAGCAGAAATGTACTGCTGAAGCTGTATAAGGCTGTGGTCAGACTGAGTTTGGAATATTGCGAGCAGTTTTGGATCCTGTATCTACAGAAGGATGTGCTGTCATTGGAGGGGATCGAGAGGAAGTTTACACCAATGATCCTGGGGATGAAGGGCTTGTCATATGAGAAGCAGTTGAGGGCTCTGGGTTTGTACTCGAATGGTGTTTAGAAGGATGAGGGGAAGCTTATTGAAACTTACAGAATACTGAGAGGCCTGGATAGAGTGGACATGGACAAGATGTTTCCACGAGTAGGAGAGACTAGAACCTGAGCTCTCAGCCTCAGAGTGAAGGGATGGCTTGATGGAACTGAAATGAGGAAGAATTTTTTCAGCCAGAGGGTTGTGAATCGATGGAAATCTTTGCTGCAGAAGGCTGTGGAGGCCAAATCATTGAGCATTGTTAAGACAGAGATAGATTCTTGATTAGTAAGGGGATAAAGGGTTATGGGGAGAAGGCAGGAGAATAGGATTGAGAAACATATCAGCCATGATTGAATGGTGAAACAGACTGGAAGGTCCGAGTGGCTGAATTCTGCTCCTATATCTTATGGTCTTATTTGTAAGAAAAATAAGACCAAACATCTGGATCTCCTCAGAGCATCTGTAACAATGTCCATCATATTAATATAACCTGGAACCAGTTGCTAACATGCAATAAACGATATCTTGTTAACTACAAGAGATTCTTCTAGTTAGACCAGGAAATGGTTTTCATCTCCCACACTAGACCAAGCAGGCCTACAATTTCCTACAGTTAAAGTGGATGGTTATAGCAACTTCCATCACGAGCAGCAACTCATCCAGTGTACTAAGCTGGCATGGCCATACAACATCGTTGGCACCAGTGCAGACTTGATTTGACTGTTCATACAACACATGTGAGATCTTCAGGCTCTGCTCGAAGCCACCTGCTAATACAGCACAGTCAGCAGAAGGTGCAAGAACCCTACAGAAGAAATCATCAAGCCAATCCTCAATAGGGAAAAAGAAGCTGTGAATAGTAAAAGCTTTTCAGACCTTGGAAGAGATGAGCTGCAACAATAGAATTACCAGCTCCACAGAGAAAGATAATTTGTAACTGCAAAGCAGATGCAGTTTGTATTATGAGGTGGTGGTCTATAGGTACAATCTCAAGTCTGAGCTTAGTGATGAGCAAACGCATATTACAGGCTCTATGATGAAAGCTTAATAGACCAGGGGAAACTTTAAAATAGTGCAATGAAATTGAGGGGAAAATTGGATATCTTGGAATAAACAATTTCTGAGGTACAGAACGGCTTCAAAAATAAGTACTAAATTAGAAGATGGACAAGTAATTACACTTCCAGACAAAACTAGGAGAAGAAGCACTGAAATTCTTTGACAATTACTTCAACCTCCAAACTAAAGAAATTCTTGAAAGAACAAGATTCAGTTGAAGAGTTCAGCATCCAGGGAAATTGGTAGATGCTTTCATTGTTAATATCTAGAGGTTCGTGGAGAAAGGTGGTTATTATGGTTTCAAATCAGAATTCATTAGACAGAATTGTAGGAATTGCTTATAAGTTCTTGTTGGATTTATTATTCCCAAAGAAGTCTTGACTCTAGAGAAAGCCATTTAGACTGTGAGTAAAACAAAAGTCTGGAAGCAACACAGATCAATCCTAACAGCAGATTATTCACTTGGCACAGGAAGTCAATGGAGTTCATTTGATTCTTAAGATACGAAACCACAAACGATGCACGTGAGACAGCAGTACAGCAATTATGGCAAGCACCAGAGACTAAAATCCTTTGTTGGTTCTGTGGAGCAAAGAAATCTCACTGGAATAGACAATCTAATAGCCAGCAAAGTGGATGCTTTGTCTGTCACACTTTCAGAAAATATGCAGAAGCAGGATACATTTTCAGAAAAGCAAGAAATCAAACAGCCACCAACGCTGTGAGGTGTGAAAATCTACAACAGAAGAAAAATGAAAGTGTTCCTGGGGGAAATGGGACTGTACATTTTGCAAGCAGATAATTATGTAATGGCCATCTCATGAATTTCAAACACTGTATGAGTGTTACTATTAGCATGAGATAGTCCTGGTTAAGAAGACTGTGTCTACAGCTGACAACAGTGCAGCTACATAGTCTAGGAGGCATAGCACTTCGATTAAATGTGTTCTACAAGCAACTCTCCAATATAGGGAATGTCAAATAGTAGAAAACCTAAACATAATTTAAAATCAGGAATTCTACTCTCAAGTAGGACAGGATTTCTTCAATTGTAAGAGTTTAACTATATAAAATCCATATAATATGTAGAAATTAAACTATACGGCGAAACCTCCAGATCACCTAAATTTATAAAGTCAAGGGAGATACAGTAGTGGTAAGTACAATTAAACACACAAATATAGATATAATCGCTGGTTCTTCTCTAAGCCTCTGTAACCATGAGCAAAGACAATGAAATTAAATTAGAACACTTGTTCTACTTAACAATCTAGCAGTACCTGTATAATGTGTGACCTGAGCCAATTGGATACCCTTTATCACATAAGTGCCTTAATCAGACAAGGG